GAGCAGACCCATCGCTTGGCCAGGGTCACACAGCTCACCCGCCGCAGAGCTGGGATTCAAGCCCAGGTGCCGACTCCAGCATGAGGCCGTCCTCGCCATGACCTCTGAGAGCTGACACTCGCTTGGCCTTTCTGAGATGAGGGTGGTGGGATTCGTCTCCAAAGTCACCCGCAGGTCCAGAGCCAGGCACAGAAAGAGCCAGAGCCCCAGGAACCAATTACTTAACCCTCAACTGGATGCCTGTCCTGAGCAGTGGGCGGCGGGCGGCGACACGCCTCCCCGGGCTGGAGGGGTTGAAGGGAACAGGCCCGTGCCAGGCTCACTGGGGCACTGGTCCAGAGCTGACCTCCTGCTTCCCGCCGGCTCTGCCCACCTGCCCCTCCTTGTCTGCTCTGCGCTCCCCCCACCAAGCCCATGTCACCTGTAGGAGCTCCTGAGCAGGCGTCACCTGACCCAGGTACAGAGCTCAGAGTACGCCAGCTGCTCTGTTGCCATGGCTACCTGGCAGGCCTGGGACGGCAGAGGATAGGATGTGGAGATAGCCCAGGCAGGGCCCCAAGGCCCCAGGCAGAGCCCAGCAGGCCTGCCCTGTGGTTGGCATTGCACTGACCTGGCTGACCTCTGGCTGTAAGCGAGTGAGTGGATAAATGCATGCGGCGTGGTGACTGCTTTAACTGGAATAGTCGTCTTTGAAGGTGGATGGTTGCCAGGATCCTAATTATAAGAGATGGTGTGATAGAGAAACGCAGTGATGTTTCCTCGTCACTCTGGGAGGGAACTCACGGGCACACACCCCGGTTTTATTATGTCGCGCGCAAGGTGCTCTTCCCATGGCGCCAGTGAAAGAAGAGAAAGAAAATTCCCTGAGAGCTTTTAATGAGTTCTAGTTTTAGAAGCAGCCTGAACAATAATTGCATGATTTAACCATCTACTGAGGTGAGGTGTTCTTTGGTCTCTCCCCGCTCTCCCGCTGTCTGGCTGCCGTGCCAGGGGATTGCCTGCCTGCCCCCTGAGAATAGCCCCTCGGGCAGGCCCCACCTTCCTTAGCCTGTCTTTGGCCTCTCTGTTGCCCTAGGACTGAGGACTGGACTTCTCTCTGGAACCTGGCTCCCACCTAGGCCCTGGGGGAGCCTAGGTCTCTGGCAAGTCCCCCAGGTGTGCCTGGGAGTGGAGCTGCGCCTGCCCCGGGCATCCCCCTCAGGAGCTGAGGCCTGCCCAGGTGCACAGGGCGCAGGGCCCACAGTGCCTGGGGGGACCCACCCTGCCAGCTGCCTGCCCGACTGGCCCTCGTCTGGCTCTGGGGGTGGAGGCCCTCTCTGGACCCATCCTTGGGATCTGCCCACACCATCAGCCACAGGCCCAGATGCAGGTCCCAGCCCGCTGCTCCGCCCAGCTCTGCTGCAGCCATGGGGCGCACTCAGCTCTTTATTTGTCCATTGGTTCTGAGGCCAGCACTGGGCCAGGACGAAGGAGACTCCCCAGGAAGTCCCAGCACCCGCTGGTGATGTGGGAGGAAGAGACACAAAAGCAGGCAGTGCCTCCGGCTCCCCTCCCGTCACCACGCTCCTACACAGAAGGCTTGGGGCTGCCCGGTGGGAGGGGCCCATCCCTTAGCATCTGGCACCTCTAGGGTGGGCTTCAGGGCGCACCCGGCCCCATCCTTCCGGCAGGCCTGAGGCAGCATGGTGGTGTACGTAGCCCGAGTGGCTGATGTGAGGACCTGGGTTTCTGGGGCTGCCTGTGCCCTGAACAGCCTCTTGGTTGGTTCTGTGAGATCCCGGCACTGTCTCCAGGAGGGGTAGTGGGGCCCTGGCCTCCAGTGATGGCGTCGGACTGGGGAGCAGGGAGGAGCCCCAGGCTGCGCTTTTGGGGTTACGGAAGTTGACTCTGGTGTCAGCGGGGGATACCCAGTGCAGGGGCCGTGTGTGCTCGGGGCTGTGCCTGGAACGCTGAGGCCGAGCCTCAGGGACTCACAGCTGCCCCTCTTCCACCCTGCCCAGCAGCTGTCCCAGGCCCCTGAAAGGCACTGGACTCTGGGCCTTGCTCAGCCACAGCCCTCCCTGGCATCTCACCAAAGCTGCGTCCCCACAGGCTGGGCACGGGCTCAGAGCCATGCTTCCCTCAGGGGTACAGCAGCACCATGTCAGTGCGGCCCTTCTCCTCTCCTGCTCATGGGAGGCAGATTGACTGGTACACACACGGGGCCCATCCCACGCCAGTGGTTGCAGCACAGGCATCCTCAAGGGAGGCCCACCGTTCCTGAGGTCTGGCCGGGGTCCTGGGTTCCACGTCCTAGAGGGAGGCCCGCCGTCCCTGAGGTCTGGCCGGGGTCCTGGGTTCCACGTCCTGGAGGGAGGCCCTGGGTGCTGCCCCGCATTGGTGGTGTTAGTGACCTGGGTTGGAGTCTGCCTAAATGTGGGTTGGATGCAGATTCCAGCATTTTCCAGCTGTGTGTCCTTGGACACACTAACCCTCCCAGTAACTCAGTTTCCATATTTCCTGTCAAATGGGGCAGTAACAGGTGAGTCACAGGCTGCATGGGGAGATGCGTTCTGCCTGTGAAGCCCTTAAGGGCCCCTGCGAGTCCCTGAGGCCATGAGCCACCAAGACCAGGCCCAGGTACACCAGGGCTGGGTGTGCTCAGTGGCTAGGGTCGAAATTGTGGTGGGGCGGTCATGTCTGGCTTTTGAGGGCATCAGGTCTGTAACTGGGAAGCCTGTGGAGGAGGTGACCCGCCTGGCTGAGCCATGCCTCATGACCTTGCTGTTTTGGTCTCCTGAGACCGTGACCTCCCTCCCACAGAAGGTGGTGGCGATGAGGAGACCAGAAACCGATCTGGGCCAACCCGCACCCATCCTTTCATTTGCTGCTGCCCCGCTGCCATGCCACAGATGCACACCAAAACTGTGACCTCAGCCCCACCCTTTCATTACCTTCCCAGCCACGGTCCGGTCCCCACAGTCGCCGCCTGCCCCTGTATCACAGTTAAGCCCAGTAATTGAATTGCAGTTGACGGTACGTGTCAGCTTAAGATCTTGCTAAGTGCTGCATTTCCCAGAACACTCCTAAAGAGAAGATGAATTCTCTTGTAACATTTTGCAGTGGGGTGAAATGACCCTCATGGAAATCAGTCCCAGCTCTGAAATGAGCTGCTGACTGGACGGGCGTGCCAGGGCAGGGGTCACAGCAGGCCTGAAGGAGCTTCCCCTGGACTGGGCTGGAACCCAGCCATGTGCCAGGCGCTCTGTGAGAAGGGCTGGTTTTGTTTGGGTGATGAGTGAGCAAACCTGGCTTGAGGTGCCCGGCCTTGCCCAGGCCCATGCAGCTGGCCAGTGGAGGAGCCGTCCCAGGTGCAGCGTGGCAGGGAAGGAGTGGGCGTCTGGTCGCTGGGCAGGTGCCCGAGTCTAACTCTTCCCCTTTCTTAAAGGCCCTGGAGGTCATGGGATCGCTTGAGCCCCCACTCCCTGCTCTGTCAGATGGGTGCTAGGATGCCCCTGGGTGGGTGCAGGTGTGAGGGGGATGGTATGTGCCCTGCCTTAGGCACAGCACAGGTGTGTGCTCTGAGTACGCTGTGGCCATATCCCTGAGGATCATCAGGGCCACTGGACCGCAAAAGGAGTTAGGGTAAAAGTAGACAGCATCGAAGACGGAAGAGTCCAGCACAACATGCCAGGTCCTCCTGGCCCACGTTTCTGTTCCTTACTCTGTTCTCTAGCTCATAGCCACTCAGTCCTTGGATAGCAGGGAACCGTCCACCTAGCCACTCATTGACCCACCCACCCCTGTCCATCATCCGTCCACATGCACTCTTTCATCCTTTCACCCACCCACCTACCCATCCATCCATCCATCCATCCACCCAGCCACCCACCCACCCATCTGTCCAACTACCCTTCCATCCATCCATCCATTCACCCACCAACCCATCCATCTCCCCACCCACCCACCGATCTGTCCAATTACCCATCCATCTGTCCATCCACCCACCCACCTATCCATCCATCATCCATCTACCCACTCACCACCCACCTGTCCACCCACCCACCCACCCATCTGTCCAACTACCCCTCCATCCATCCATCCACCCACCAACCCATTCACCCACCCACCCATCTGTCCAACTACCCCTCCATCCATCCATCCATCCACCCACCTATCCATCCATCATCCATCTACCCACTCACCTACCCAACTATCCACCCACCCACCCACCCATCTGTCACCCCTCCATCCATCCATCCATCCACCCACCAACCCATCCATCCACCCACCCACCCACCCAGCTGTCCATCCATCCATCCACCCACCTATCCACCCACCCACCCACTCACCTACCCACCTATCTACCCACCAATCCATCCATCCATCCATCCATCCATCCCCCCATTCTCCTACCCACCCACCCATCTCTCTTAACTACCCATCTGTCTGTCCATCCATCCACCCACCCACCCATTTATCTACCAACCCATCTGTCCATCCAACTACCCATCCATCCATCTATTCATCCATCTACCTACCCATCCATCCACCCAGGTACCCATCCATCCACCCATCCATTCATCGACCCACCCACCCATCTGTCCATACATCCACCCATCCATCTATCCACTCATCTGTCCAACCACCTATCCATCTACCCATCCACCCACTCATCCATCTACACAGCCATCTGTCCAACCACCTGTCCACCTACACATCCACCCACCCACCCACCTATCCATTCATTTATCCATCCAGCCAGCCACCCACCCATTTATCCATCCACCCACCAATCCATCACCCACCCATCTATCAGTACACCCATCCATCCATCTAGCCATGCATCCATTCACCCACACCCCATGTATCCATCCACCCCCTCATGTATCCATCCACCCATTCACCATTCCATTTGTCGACCCACCTATCTACCCATCTATCGGTCATCCTCCCATCTACCCATCCACCCTTTTGTTCACTCCACTGAACTTATTTATCCGTCTATCCCACTTCTTTAGGGTTTGCTGGGCAGTGCCTGTGTGCTGGCCCATGCTCAGTGCTGCTGCACAGAGAGGGAAAGGTGGACCTTTCTGTCTAGGAGCCCCAGGCAAGTGGGATGGGGTATCTGCCTTTGACATTCTGTGCTCTCCTGCAGTCAGGCCTTTACAGTGCTGAGGATGCTGTCCTACACTAGACTACGAATCCTAGGGGCAGGCTCTAGGGCCTCTGTACCCAAGGAAGCAGCTCACAGCCCCTGGGACACCTGGAGAGCTTGGGGCTTGGCCTGAGAGTCAGGAGACGGAGAACTCAGATCCCTGCTCTGTCTCTGACTTTTGGGGTGACCCTGGGCTAGCCCCTGGCCCTTTCTGGGTCCAGCCATGCCTCTCTCACAGGAAGTGGACAGAGCAGCTGGTTCCTGGCTCTGCAGGTGCTGCCTGGGCCTGCCCCAGCCTCAATGGGCACTCTCAGGTGCCCTGGGCATCTGCCCCACAGCCCTGCTCCTGACGTGGCTCTGTCTTGTTTCCACAGAGCAACTTGCTGGATGTGAATCAGATCATCAAGGACTTGGCCTCCATGGTGTCAGAGCAAGGAGAAGCTGTCGGTGGGTACCTGCCCCAGCCTCAGGCCACCTGCTGCCCTGAGGGCCTACCCGCCAACCCCCGGCCCTCACCCTGTCCCCTAAGTGTGCCTGCTACTGCCAGAAACCCTGGGCCTCAAGCCAGTGGGGCAGGGGATCGCAACTCCAGCTGGGTGTCTCTTTTACTCAGTTGAGGAAGAGCCAGTCTGCCCCTGGTGCCCACAGGCCTTTGGTTAAAGCACTCAGCTGCCCACCAGGACTCTCAGGCCCTGCCCCACCCACCCACTCACCCTCCATGCCCTGGGCAAGCTGTGGCCTCACCTTGGACCTGTGCCGAGAACAGCCTCCTGGCCCCTCCTGCTCTGACAACTTGCAGTAGGTCCAGAGACCCTCAGGCAGCTGGCCGGGTGAGACCCTTGAGCACCTCCTGGTTGCTTGCTCCTCAGTCCCCTGGGAGCCTGGGCTTCCAGCTGCACTGTGGCCCCAGACAGCGCTTCCTTACCGCCTCCTGTCCCCAGGACCCCTCCTGTCTCCTCGTCCTCCCGCATTCTCCCCACTGTCAGCTTCCAGCGGTGTCTGTAGCTGTTTCTGCCCCTGGCCAGCTGTCTCGGGCTGGGATGTGCTGACTGTGTGGAGTGGTTTGTCCTCTGTAGGTGCCTACCAGTCCCAGTGACAGATGGACCGGGAGGGGCACTCCTGCCAGCAGTTCAGGGAAGGGAGCAGTCGTGGGGAGGGGACAAACCAGGGCTGACCCGCCACATGTGATCAGGGCCCCAGGGAGGGCAGAGGGCACCTGCCAGGTGGACAGGCGGGAGGCCCAGAGAGTGGCTGAGTCACGGGGGCCTTGCTATCGTGGATGCCGCCTGCCTGTGCAGGGCGCCGACGCGAGGCCTGGCCGCCGTGCCCGGACACAGGGCCTGCGATGACCGGGACCCCAAGCCTGGCAGCGCTGCTCTCCCCAAGATCTCTGCCCCCTGCTCAGCCTCTGGTGCCTTTCCAGGGTCCAGCGGCAGCAATGCTACGTGCCGGCAGAGCTGCAGCCCCGAGCCGGCCATGGCCCTGCTGCCGGGTGCCGGGCCGGGCCCCACGCCCCCGCAGCCGGGCCCCCACTCCAGGACCAAGACGCGCAAGCCCAACTTCAGCCCGCAGGAGACGGAGGTGCTGGTGCAGAGGGTGAGGCGCCACTACCCGCTGCTGTTCGGGACACTGCGGGGCACGCCCGCCCGGAAGCACCGTGTGTGGAACCGCATCCTGCAGGCGGTGAATGCGCTGGGCTACTGCCGCCGAGACCTGGGCGACCTCAAGCACAAGTGGCGGGACCTGCGGGGTGCTGTGCGCAAGAAGCTGGCAGAGGGCGCCGTGCCCGGCCTCATCCTCACGCCTGTGGAGCGCGTCGTGGCCGAGACCTTTTCCGCCCATGGTCCTCAAGGCCAGGGCCAGGCCACAGAGCCCCTGCCAAGTAAGTGGGCCCTCCCCACAGCCCGCCCCCAGGACCACCCTGCCCCAGGGTGAGCAGGGCTGGCGAGCAGGCTTCGAACCGCCTGCACCAGCTCCCGAGAGGGACATCCTCCCAGGGAGACCCAGAGGCCCGTGGAGATGGCCTGCCATCCTCCTGCCTCTCTCTTCTTTTAGGTGGGGAAACCAAGGGTCAGGGCCAGGGACGGGTCTGCCTGCCTGGGGAGTGGAAGGGCTGCGGCTCCCACCTGGATCCCAGCTCGGGGTCTGCCCAGCATTGCCAGGCATTGTGGCACCAAGGGGCTCAACTGTAGACGCCACCTTAAGCCATGCCCACTGGGTGTCCATATGGGACGCTGGGGCCCAGTTCCACGTCACTGTAGTGAGTGAGCGCCACAATGGGGAGGGAGTCACAGGTGGTCGCTGGGACCGGTGCCTAGTGAGGGGTGGAGATGGGGGCCTAGCTCCCCAACGCGCAGCAGCAGCAGCAGCGGGTGCCACCCAGGGTGCCCTGGTGCCTTTCAAGCCCCCGTCTCGGCCTCTGGTGTTCCCACCTGATGTCATGTGGCCTGGACACGGCCCTCCTCTCCCAGGTGCAGTCCACAGGTGGATACAGCTGTCCTTAGGCAGCCAGGTCTTCTATACCAGCGGGTCCCCACAAGGAGAACACCCCACTTCCCTGTGCAGGGCCGCACGGTCCGGCTGGCCACAGGGTCTGAAGACGGGCTTTTTGGGAGGAAGGAGAACTTCCCTCTGCTCTCCCCCAGCCGCAGATCCCCAGGGTGTGGCTGCCTGGAGAAAGCAAGGCCAGCCTGCAGGTGGCAAGAGCCTCCGCCCGATGCGCCTCCAGCTGGCTGACCCTTGCTGTGGCCCCCAGGGAGCAGGAGGTGACGTGTCCTGTTGGTTGGTCACTATTGAGCAGCTTTGGCAGAGCCAGGGAGGAGCCTGGGCCCCAGCATGGCTCCTTCCCCGCTAATGCTGTGCCTTGCTCTGGCGTGCAGTGGCTTCCCCCTCCTGCTGACCTGTCCCTCTGGGCACACAGCCCCCTAGGATACACTGTGTCCCACTCCGAGGTCACGGGCCCACTCCAGGGACCACTGACACCAGGTATTTCTGTGCTCGGCTGGGCCTCGTCACTGCCCACAGCTGCCCCTGGCTCTGAGGGTGACGCTGCTCCGCGCATCCTCCCGCTGCCTCCGCGCCTCCTCCCTCTGCGTCTCCTGTACTCCTCAAGACACCGCTCCAGGAGCTCCTTTGCCACCCTCCACACATGGTGGCCCACCCTTCAAAGCACAGCCCTGCTGGACTCTCGCCTTCCTGGGAGCTGCTGGAAGGACTTTGGGGACGAAGCCCCAGAAGCAGGACCAGCTTCGTCTTGAGGGCCACAGAGTGGACAGAAGGACTCAGCCTCATGGGACAGGCAGGGGCTGGCCTGAAACGCCCCCACTGGCAGCCATGGCAGAATTTGGAGCCTGAGCCAGCCTCAGCTTCTCCTGCTCATGGCGGTGCACAAGGCTGGGACCCATGGGGAGAGCGGGTCGGGCTGGCTGGGAGATGCGTGCTGACCCAGGGTGCCACCAAGCCTGTGGCTGACCTTGGACAAGGGACCTGGCTGTGGGGCTGGGCTGTGGGTCTTAGGCGATGGGCCTGGGCACTTGGCCTCTTGATGGGCCTTAGGGATGAGCCTAGTCAGTGGGCCTCGTCATGGAGTGGGGCTGGAGGAGGACCTGGGTTCTCCTCTCAGGCCTGTGCAGGCCAGGAGTGGCTGTATCCGCCTCCAGGGAGGCCACACACTCTTGCAGGGCAGGGCCTTGCAGCTCAGGGTTCTACAGGCAGAGGCAGGCCTGGTTTGGGGGGTGCTTCAGGGCAAGGGTGGACCTGCGGTGTGGGGCTGATGGCAGCTGACATTTGTTCAATTCCTGGACGAGGGAGTGCTTGGGACAGGGTCGGACTTCCCCTTGTGGGCACTGAAGTAAGGAGCAGGGAAGTGGCCACCAGGCCTGGTGACAGGGTGGGGACCTCACTGCAGGCCCAGATGCCTGGAGCTGGCCGTGCTCTCTGCTCTGCAACAGTGCTGCCCGGGGCTTGGGCAGGGCCAGGCTTGTAGGGCTGATCACAGCTGTGAGGCTGGGGGCAGCGATCTGACAGTGCGGGGGTCTCCCGCAGAGCCCCCTGTACCCTCAGTTTCCTTTGAGGTGTGTGTGCTGTTCTCTGAGTGTCTGGGGATGGCAAGACCAAAGGCTGTTCTCTTTGGCCCCTGGAGGCCTGGCCTAGTGCTTGGCTGTCCCTTGGATCGTGGAGCCAGGGGACCTGCAAGGGGCCCCCGTGGAGCACCCCTCGTGTCGGGAGGGCCAGGTGCCCAGGGCTCTGTGGCTCTGCAGGGCTGACCCCACAGACCAGGGGTCTCCAAGACCCGGCAAAGCCACAGGCCCAGGGATGATGGCTGATGAGGTCTCGGAGTGCCTCTCAGTGCCACAGGGCCCACGCAGTGAACCTGGCCTCACCCCGCAAGGGACACAGGCCACACGGGCCCAGGAGCAGCCTCCCTCCCCTCCCCATCTCTGCGCACCACCTTGGGGCAGGACATGGTGTGCCCACCTGGCAGCCGGGGCGCTGAGGAAGACATTGCTGGCTGCGGAGTCGGGTGATGGTTGTGTGATGTGTCTTGACTGTGGGCAGTGCCAAGCTGGTTGAGCATGCACCTAGGACTGCCCTAGGCCTAAGGCCAGCGCACGCAGCCCTGAACAGCAGGATGTCTGTCCCCGCCCTGAGGGTGGGCCTGCAGGTCACACACTGTGGTCAGAGTCCCTGGTTTCGGGGCTCCATGTGGAGCAGGACTGGGCACTGGCTGAGTCTGTGAGCGGGGTGCAGGGCTTGGCTGAGGCTGCCTGTGGTCATGGGCAGAGAAGGGATCCAGCCAGGGCACGTGGCCTGTCCAGGGCCCCCTGCGTTAGTCCAGACCACCATGGCCTTCCTGTCCTCCTGACACATGTTCTCTGCTGTCTGCATTCACCGCTCAGTGACAGAAGTGAGGCCAGGCTGTTGCTGCTGTGGATACAAGGTGGCTTCTTTGCACGTGAGAGGGGCAGTGCCCAGGTCCAGTCTGGCGCTTCCTCCCTGGCAGGCGGGTCTCTCCTGGGTGGCAGTTGTGGGGGACTCCGTCACGCCCGTGGCCCCATCTTCCTTCCCTCTCCTCCACTGGCTGAGAGGGTCGTGACCCTGATGTGGCAGGGCATGGAGAGCCGTGGCCATTTGAGGGCTGTCAGCACAAGGGGTGCTGTACTCCAGGAGCAGCCCAGGCTGCTGCCCATCGCCACCCTCTGCTGGCCCTGGCTCCCTGTGCAGGGGTCTGGCTCTCCCCGCCCTGGCTGGGGCAGGAGCCCCCAGATGCAGCGATCAGGGTGCTCCAGCAGGGCCCTGGGCTGGGGGTGAGGGTGGGGTGGAGCTGGTGACTAAAGGTTCAAGGATCCCTGTGAGGCCTGGGGGGCTTCTGAAGGCAGAGCTCATGGGCACCACCTCCTGCCCAGGGGCTTGCAGAGATGGGGCCAGTTCCCTGATGACAGAAGGGAGGCCCTGCTGGGATGGCGGGGAGTGGCCCTGTCTTTCTGAGGACCCTGCTCCCTCAGAGCCAATCCTGCCAGGCCAGAGGTGGCGCTGTGCCTGGCAGCAGTGCCTGTGGTCACGACAATTTCTGTTCCAGGCCTCGACCCCCGAAGGCTCAGGTCAGCCCGTCCCGTCCCGGGGGTTACTGTAGGTGTGGTTTCTTTAGGTGTTTCTGCCTCCCAAGCTCTTCTCCAGTTGCTGGAGTGGAGGCAGGCCTTCCAGGGAGCCTCCCTCTGGGAGGAAGGTGTGCCCGCCCTGTGTTTGCATCTGGCTCCGTTGCGGACCCAGCCTGCACCTGCGCTCCTGGTGCCCGGGCGGCACGTGTCCTTCCCTTGGGCGGAAGAGGATGCTGAGCACCAGGGACCGCCCAGGTGGTGCACTTGGATTCAGGTGGAGGCTCTGGTGTGGGCAAGGCCTGTGGGGCCGATGCTGTCACCACTCACTGCCTCAAGCCCACAACCTGTCCCAGACTCTTTGTGGGGCGAGGGCGGCATAGGCAGTCATGGCACGTTACTGCCATTTTTGCTGCTGGTGTGGCGATGTAGAATCTTCCAGATCCCTGGGGCTGCCCTGGGCCTGGTCTGGTGGTTCTCGTGGGCCCTGCTGATGTGGCTTCCCCGGGCGGCACTGCCGCAGCCACTGAGCCTGGCTTTGCCCAGGCACCATGAGCCCCCCATGGTGGCGAGATTTGCTGGTGAGCCCCCTGTGCCGAGTGGGGGCAGCGCATGTGGCTAGTCAGAGCCCTGTGCATGCAGACCTGGCTCCCATCAGCCCCGTTGCAACTCCACAGATGTTCAGGCCGGGGCTGTGCCCCTTCAGAAGGGGTCGTGCCACAGAGTGGAGGGGCTAGCCCAGGCAGTGTCATGACAGAGCGGGACCTGACCCCAGCCCTGACCTCCCGCTGCCACCCCCACCCTTTTCTGAGTGAGTGCTTCCTGCCTCACCGGTGTGGGCATTGAGGAGTCTCCTTCCTGGGCCCCCTCCAGGTCTCCGTTCTAATGCCATTGCCTACTGCCCACACCAGGCAGAGCCCTCAGGGTGCCTCCAGCAGCCCAGCCTGTCCCTGCAGCCTGCCTCCTCTGGAGGCCCTGGGCTCAGGCTCTGTTGCGCTCGCCTTTGACATTGTCCTCAGGGCGAGGGCGGCTGGGTCTCCATCTGTAATCGCCTTTTGTTGTCTTGATTTGCAGATAGTATTGAAGCCAGCCTCGAGGCTGTGTCCTTGCATGCGGAGGCAGCCCGCCAGCTTCCGGCTGGAGCCAGCCGGCATGAAGTAAGTCCGTGAGAGGGCTGAGAGGGTCCTCCGACCCCTGTCCTCTAGGCCTCCCTCCATCTGTAGGGGGTGCCCAGGCCCTGCCCTGTGCCCAGGAGGGGCCTGCCTACGGGCCTTCTAGAACCAGCCTGCTGCTCAGGCCCTGGGGGCTCTGGGAGTGGCGGGGCCGCGGCCGCAGGGGTCTGCTTGGTGCCCGTGGTGGTCAGCACCGTCTCTCTCGTCTGCACCGTGCCTCCCTCTCCCGTGGATCCCGGCACAGTGGGGGAGAGGGTCCTTGGGGCCTCCTGCCCCACCTCCCATGCCGGCTGCTGGCCTACGGCGTGGTGTCCGTCCTGGGTCTGGGGACTGTGGAGGGGACTTTGTGGTTGGGGCAGGTCAGCGGCTCAGAGGAAGCAAGAAGAAAGCTCAGGCCTTTGTTTTCTTGAAATGGGACTTGGAGCCGCCTTGAGGATCAGACACTCACTGGGCCTTGTTGCTGACTTGTGCTCACCCCAGGAGGACCTGACAGGTCAGGCTGGCTGGGGACCATGGCCCAGCTGGCATGGAGGCCCGGCCACCGTCTTCCCCTCACTGTCTCTGTTCCCACTGCGGCCGGGTGCCCCTAGCTAGCCCTGACAGGCAGAGATGACGACGCAGAGCCTGTTACTCAAGGAGTAACCAGGGGCCAGGCAGGCTGGGCGTTCAGTCCAGCAAGGTGAGGGTGGCATGGGCCACTGTGGGAGCACAGAAGACGCCCCTGGGCCATCAGGGGCTGGGACAGAGGAGCAGGGGCAGTGCTGGCAGATGGGACAGTGCTGTAAGTGTGAGGTCGGGTGCAGGAGCAGCCAGGTGAGCAGGCCTGACGAGGTGGGAGCCATGTCCTGGGAGATCACGGCTGTGGCTGCAGAGTGTCCTCATTGCTTTACAGGTGTGAGAGGAAGAGGGGGCCGCAGCCAGAACCATGCAGGGACTCGAATGGGTGGAGATGGAGGGGAAAGGCCAGGGCCGCTTGAGCTCCCACTTGAGGCCCAGTGCAGGCACCCCTGCTGGGGGAGTGTGTGGTAATGGAGAGGCTGGGCCCCTCCCCATTTCTCTGTCAGGGGCCATTAGACTCGGAAGGTCGGGGTCACCAAGGGTCCGCCCCTGTTGACAGCTGGTGAAGGCCAAGCTGGGAGACCTGGGAGAGGCTGTGCCAAGGTCACCCGCAGGATCAGGGCAGAGGCAGGGCTGGGGCTGGGTCTCCTGGCACCAGCTCCGGGCTCTTTGGCCTCAGCCCCCGGCCCGCCATCTCCTAGCCACTGAGGGCAGCTAGGCCCAGGAGCCTCCAGGAATCGGAAGGTGGAGGCTCTGGTGGCGGGCAGCAGACTTGCCAGAAACTCGGGGCCACAGCATGCAGGACCTCATCCCAAGAGGAAAGCAGCCAGCTGGCAAGATGACCCCTCCCGGGCACCCTGGGACCACTTGGTCAGAAGCAGCACCCATGCCTAGGATGGCAGGAGGATGATGGGACAGTGAGGAAGAGGAGGAGGAGGAAGAGGAGGAGGAAAAGGAAGAGGAAGAAGAGAAAGAGGAAGAGAAGGAGGAAGAGGAGAATGAGGAAGAGGAGGAGGAAGAGGAGAAGGAGGAAGAGGAGGAAGAGGAGGAGGAAGAGGAGGAGGAAGAGGAGGAGGAGGAAGAGGAGGAGGAAGAGGAGGAGGAAGAGGAGAAGGAGGAAGAGGAGGAGGAGGAAGAGGAGGAGGAGGAAAAGGAGAAGGAGGAAGAGGAGGAGGAAGAGGAGGAGGAAGAGGAGAAGGAGGAAGAGGAGGAGGAAGAGGAGAAGGAGGAAGAGGAGGAGGAAGAGGAGGAGGAGGAAGAGGAGGAGGAAAGGAGGGTGGTGGTAGCTGGGCCAGCCACCTGTGCAGCGGACACCCTGCCACGTTCCCAGTGAGCGTGTGAGCTCAGTCCCTGCCGAGCAGGCACCGCCCACGCTGCAGACGAAGTGGGCAGGGCTTAGGCCCAGGAGGCGGAGGTGGCGTCACCTCTGCATAGACCATCCTGCTCTTGCCTTCGAGGGGGCCTCCCCACGGCGTGAAAGGAAGGGACATGTGTTGCCCCATCCTCCACACCCAGGGCACTGGAAGGGTCAGAGATCCCACACTTAGAGACTCTGAAGCCAGGCCTTTGATATGCAGCCTGGGAATCTGAGGCCTGCAGAAGAGAAGGCGTTTTCTAGGGTCACATAGCTGTTGAGACCAAGCAGAGCCAGCCTTAGAGCCCACGTCTGCCGAGTCTCAGGTTCAGACCTCTCCTTGTTGCCCTAGGGAAGCTTAATCCTCTCATCTTCCTGGGGACATCACTTGGGTGGATGGGTGCCTGCTGGACAAAGGGATGGCCAGAAGGATGATTGGAAGGATGGACGCATGCGTGAGTGGATGGAAGGATGAGGTGTAGACGGGCGGGTGGCTGGGTGGATGAAAGCGATGAGGTGTAGACGGGCGGGTGGCTGGGCGGATGGAAGGAGGAAGGTGTAGACGGGCGGGTGTCTGGGCAGATGGAAGGAGGAGGTGTAGACGGGCGGGTGGCTGGGTGGATGGATGAGGTGTAGACGGGCGGGTGGCTGGGCGGATGGAAGGAGGAGGTGTA